TTTGACACGGAACCACCAATATATAAAAACACACATTATATTATTATTCTCCTTTGATAAATTGATACATATTTTTCCCCATCAATTTAAATGAGAATAATCACTGCAGAGTGTGCTAACATTTCAAAACCATGAGTTAAAAAACGCTGACTATGCGAGTATAAATATTAAAGCCGAACAGAGCGGAGCGGTGTGCTGCCAGCGCGAGAGGCTCACTGGCGCCTACAAACCTAAGTGGATACTTCACGCATTGCACAATGCTTGAAGTATCCACTTAGGTTTGTAGGCGCCAGCCAATGCGCGTTTCGCGCTGGCCGCCCGCCCTCCGTGCGGCGGCGCCTGGAGCAACTATTTCACAACAGAGATGTAGCACAGTATTATACGAAATTGAACATATTAAGAATGACAGGCATCCTTTAAAAGTACAGACCTTTCCTCGTAAAATAAATCAAGATATATGTACTTATCGTACACAGGAAAAATCTAAGAGCCTTTAGCTGAGGCAAATATAGAGGTTTATCCGGTTCAGGTATAACAAGGTGGGAATTTCTTGAAAGATAATTAAGTCCTGTTACACCAAAGAGGTGTAGAGAGTTTTAGTGAATTTTGTCTTATGGAATTGACGCTCCCCCATGTTTACCAAAACTCTCAACTGTATATTATTTTCCGTTGGACCAAACAGACAAAACAAAAAAACAAGCAAACCCTCATTCTTCCGAGACATTATATATTTTCATCCAAAAACGTCGTGAGCAATCGTCGTTTGTATTTACATGTGGTCAATTAACTTTGGGTCTCAACTGGCACGTGGACCAAAACTCCCGTGCCGGAAAAACGCGTGGACGTAAATTACTGGAAAAAACAGGTGCGCGGACAAAAAATCGTGGACGAAATGACTTATAACCAACTTTATCGGCAGCACAAAGAAAATTCCGTGGAATTTTCAGACAGCGCCGTCGAACAATTGCTCCATAAAAAAATAAAATGGTGGCGGAAATTTTTAAACTTCGCATGGCACCCGTGATACCTCGGCCGGAAAGTACATGACGAAACGTTGAAAATGTGGGGCGCAGATAGGTACTTCCATTTATGAACCAGAAATATACATCGCAAAATGAAGTTCATTTTAACTTAATCATGAATATTTCTCCACAACAAATTCTCTTCGAGAGTTCGGAAGGTGCCTACCTCGCATCCCCCCCTCATCCGTGCCCCCCGCGGTTCGCAACTTAAAAAGTTGTCGGAAAACGAGGCAGAACGTGCGTCGCACGTGGAAGTTTCTATTCCATTTCGGCGTATTTATAGCCGGACTTGAAACTACAGGTCGATGCTTACATCGATATCAAATAAGCTCGATCGATAGGAAACGTTGTTAGGCAGCGGCGTGGCGTGAATTGCGATATATCGATTGTTCTACCATTTGAACCTATGACAAAGAATCGATTATTAAGGTGTTCGCTGCGAACACCCTGTTTATCGATCTTTGTCCATAGGTTTAAATGACATGACAATCGATGAATCGCAAAGCACGCCACGCCACTGTTGTTAAGATACGGCTTTATCGATCAAGGTCGATCGATGAAGGGTCAATAATCGACTTGGCGACTTTAAGAAAGCAAGAAAACGCGAAGCCGGTGCGGTGCTTCTCCAGGGCACTTCATTACTAGGCGATGAGTTTTTAGCTCCTGTAAGGGCCTATCTGTATTTCCACGTGAGCCCTCGGAAGCATAGAGTTGTATGGAGAACAGGGCTGAAGTTGAAATTGAGATACATCCTTAAATGTGCCGCGATCGGCTAGTTTAAACAACGCCTTGATCCGGAAACTTCCGCAAAAACGCGTACGGGCTCCTCGATTCATCGCCATCTTCGAAAAGTTGTTACAAGTTCCTCGTAACATCTCTTCTTCGTGTTATGAGTATCTTTTTTCTTCGATGCGGAGCCTTCGGGAGTCGACAAGGATGCCGACTTGTGTCGGATAAAACACTGGAAAAAAAAACACATTGGATCTAGAGTCCAGATTCTTGAAAACATTGGCAAGAAAAAGTACTCTTGATTCAATCAGATTTTTGCTTAAATCAAAAAGAAAATCCACTCAAATTAAGAGGCTTGGTTCTTGATTCGAGCAAAAATCCGATTGAATCAACAGTATTTTTTCTCGTCGATGTTTTTAAAAGTCTGGACTCTAGATCCAATGTGTTTTTGTTTTCCAGTGAACCATCTAAAATGGCGACAACCATGAGCGCAGAAACGGTAGGCAATAAGCGGAAAATTGCACAGACCAAAAGCGCAAATTTTGAACACAAGTAGTCGTCCAAAAGCGCAAACGTGGAAATCGACCTAACCGACAAACGGAAAATATCAAAAAATTCTATGTCATCAGGAGAATCGGTTATGGATAAGGAAATTCTGAGGGGTTCAAGCATTTTTCAAACATTTGAATCGGTGCATCGAATATTTGAATCGTTCAAGGATATGAGTGGTAATTCATTCACTCAAAAAGTCAGAAAATCTCAGATTAAATAAATGAAAAATTAGGAAATCCAAAATGAAAATTTAGTAGACACCTTGCTAAAGTAACCTAAAGTTAAGGCCAGATGCTGACCAGATTTGCGCTAACGAGTTACCATCCAAAAGCGCAAATTGACGATTCGCGCTTGTGGGTGTGTTTCGCTTGTGTCACTTTTCTGAATGGACCACCAGACAAGGTGCGAATTTGAGAATTCTAATACATGTTCTTTCATTGAAATTTTGCGTGGAACACGATTCGCGAAACGAAAACGACTGAGATTAACTCCAAAGAAGGATATAAACACTTTTCGATGTGTAAATTCATACCTCCTGCTCATAAAGAAACAGAAGTCTAAGTGAGGCAAATCGCGTACTAAATGTTGGCACTACTAGTTTGAAGATAATGCTCAACGTGATTCTTGTACGAATTTTTCTAAGACTGAGTCGACTCACAATCAGTTTGCTGCTTAGACCTATTGCAAACTGTGAATTCAGTTGTATGGAGGAAAATTTTTAATTCTTTGCACAATTTTGAACTATGCTGGTCCAAGTTTCGTTTCGAAATACGAGCTTGAAGATCCGATGTAAAGTTCAGGCAGGATAAACACAGGTGGGAGAAAAAGTTCTGGGCTGACTTATCGATCGGTCGAGGTTGAATCTGGATGTTTCGGGCTACCAATCACCTTCGGTTCATTGCAGGAAACAGAGTCATGCTTGTTTGAAAAGGTTACCTAGACGAATTGAAATTGAATCAGCGTAAATGTGTTTCATGATGCCTTCTTTCGTCTCAAGGTTTATTTTTTTAAACGAGAACTAAATTTGATGCCTTTGAAACTTTCTGTACAATTCCCCGAAAATGTATCAATGGCTAAATGGAAACAATGCATACCTCAGCTGTGACGTCCCAAAATGTCCAATTATGTTTGATTGTCCTCAAGGAAAATTAATCAAAATGTTCAATGTTAATCAAAACTTCAGGGAAAGCAAACAAATTCAGGGAAAAATCACGGAAAGGCAGTTAATTAGAAAATGAAAAAATTGTTGAAACCCTGACGTCGACAAACTTCGGTGTAACACTAGCACGCGAGAGATAAAAATAACCGTTGTAATGTTCCAAAAAACGAACAACAAGTATGATTTTTCTTATTTAACGCAGCTTGGAAAACAGGAGTGTTGAGGCGCAAAAGGCAGATCTTACTTTTTTTACTTTCAAACTAAGAAAATAAATCCCTTTAGGTAGCCAATTTGATTCTCAAGTTTCAAGTTCTATGGACGAAAGGAACTGTGATTGCGAGTCTTACTTACCGCACATTTCACTGTGCGCGCAGGACAAGGTAAAACGCCTTCAATTTTTGCGTATGCAACGCGGACAACTCCGGACCACGAATAGTTGCATCAAGGCGCTACATCCAACGTCCGTCGTTTTGCGTCGTTTTCCATGACTCAAATCCAAATCAGACGCATTGAACTAGACTAGAAGTAGTCGAACCACAGCAGTTGTTGCCTAATCTCTCTAGAGTTTCATATATTTAACTTTTAAGAGAAAATGCAACAAAAAGCTGCTGAATAAATATTTTGTGAGTAGTCCAAGTAAAATTCACTGGAGGAAAAGACGCAAAGACGCGTTATTTTGTTTCATTTTACAATGTAGGGATTAAGCACCATGAAATGCAGGCAGGTAACTAACCTTACCTAATTTTCTCTGCTATTTTATTTTATTAAACAGAAAACTAAACTAGTTCGTTTTGCGTCCTATTTGCGTGACATAACTGGACAGGATTTAACCGAATGGAATCTGACCTTGTGTTAACCTAATTTTCTCTGATGTTTTATTTTATTAAGAGAACTAAACTAGTTCGTTTTGCGTCCTATATGCGTGACATAACTGAACAGGATTTAAGGTGATTTGATGGACGCCATATTTTGTGTCAGAACGGCATGCGATACATCGCATCAATTGGTTCCATTTTTTCAGCTACTCGTCATTTTTCTCCAATTTTGAGATCGCAATTCTGTTGTCAGGAGACTAAAGCACTCACTTACCAATTTTAACAAAGAAATTCAACGTAATAAAGGCGTGGTTTTTTCAGAGAGAAAACATCGCATTCGATACTGATATCGAAACTGCACTCGAATGCGATATTTTCTCTCTGAAAAAACCACGCCTTTATTACGTTGAATATCTTTGTTAAAATTGGTAGGTGGGTGCTTTAGTCTCCTGACAACAGAATCGCGATCTCAAAATTGGAGAAAAATGACGAGTACCTGAAAAAATGGAACCAGTTGATGCGATATATAGCATGCCGTTCTGACACAAAATATGGCGTCCATCGAATCACCTTAACCAAGATTAACTGTATTTTATGGTGTCTCCTACCTTCCCGCGTTTTATTTTATACCATACTGCCTCTGCATCTTGTGATATTGTGCTTGGTATGTATTGCGTTGGCTGGAGAATCTGACCATGTTGATTTGATCTGTTTGCCTGGCAGGCGGTGGCTTTCAACTCGAGCGGGAGTTTGGGGAACAAGTATCTGGCTGTCTACGTGCTTCTGGCCAGCGTCGCAGGTGGAGTCTTCCTTGTTGCCTCCCTCTTCTTCTTCTGCCGCTACTGCAAAGGCTCCAAAACCTCCTCGCTCCCTCGCAAGTAAGTGCCTCTCTCTTTGCCTCAACTACACTATTTGGATTGCATTTTGCAATAAAGAACCTTTATCTCTGACTCTTTCATAAAAGCACATATCTGCATAGGGAAACCAATAGCATGTATGAGTATGTTGTTTGTAAAATGGGCCAGAAATAGTGGTTCCTTCTTGCAAAATGTAATTCATTTTATCATTTTGTTTCTCATGTATTTGTAACAGTTTGTTTTAAATGGGGCCACGGGGGGCACACTGGTTCATGGGGATAGGGGACGATCGCCCCCTAAACTTTTGACAAATTGGCCTCGTAGAGACCCTTTGGGGAAGTTTTTGGGGCCCCATCCAGCACTGTGTAAAAAAGCTCGCAAAGCTTTTTAGGGCTTGATTCGAATTTCTCTTCCCCCTTTTATTGAGGAGGGGGAGTCGCCTGTATATTAGCCAAAAATATACTTGAAACCGTGAATGTTTCTAACTGAAGTGAGGAAAGTTGACTGAAAATTTCAAAAAACCTATTACTTAGTTTTTTTTGTTTTTTTTTTTTGTTTTTGAAAAAAAAATGAAATATGTGTCGATATTTGTTGTATCGTAATTGGAAACACGGATTTTTTGAACTTCCCTAGTAGCATGATTCACTTTCCCCTTCCTAACAAACGTATAAGGAATTAATACCGGTTATATAATCACCATTTTAACTAAAGTTTATATATCGTGTATATAAGTTTTATATAAAATGCCCATGANAATCCCGACTAGGACGGCGCGGATTTAAGGTAAGTCACAACTCTACGATGATCCACCACCTGGTAGTAACGCATATGAAAACTTGCACACTTCATAACTAGAGTGCGCTACCTGCCAGGAAGAATAATGAAAATTCATTTTATACACTCTTTGAATTTGGTTATATAACTTTTATACTAAGGGTTACGTAATAAAATAAGTTTTTTAGTAAACTTTTAACTAAAAAACTTTACATCCATTACATAAACAATGAATATTCTTTAGCTTGTGGTTATTTACGGTTTATACTTTTAAAAACAAATTTTTTATATAACTCTGCTACTAGGGTTAGGTATTGATATGATACCTATTTTCTATAAAACAATTTCGGGAGAAATGAGATTTTCCACTTCCTTAATCCTCTTCGGGTTACACGCCTCAAATATTAGTGAAATAAGTTGAAACTTGACCAAGTATTATTTTTTTAAAAAAAATAGGGCTTTTGATAAAGCGTGTTACAAACTACGCAGATTATGCGCTTAGGAACGAATTCCAGACTTTTTTGACATGTCCAACGTGATTTTCGTGCGATTTTTTCCTTTAAGAGTATGCATATCGATGGTGAAACTACCAGACCACGCATCTGATTTGCGGCGTCTAAAAATTTCCGCTCTCATTTTATTTTTTTGGAGGAGAAAAATATAATATCATTCCTTGAAGTTTTCACATAATTTCTTTCGCGCTGAGAAGAAAAATCACGGATATTTTCAAAAACTGACGTTGAGTAGTTTCCTATTTAAAAATTTAAGTATGGAAGGAAGTCTGCAACGTTGCAAACCGCGATACGTGGACTGGTAGTTTCAACGTCGATATATATTAACCGGAACTAGTTCCGAATTCCGGAACTTTTGAGATTTTCCCGGACCTTTTGAAATTGCCGAAATTTTCCGGATCTTTTGGATTGTCCGGAACTCTGGAAATCGTCTAAAAGGAATCCCGGATCTTTTGACGGTCATGAAGTGGGAGAAATTGGAACAAAGAAATTCCGAATCCCGGAGCTCCTGATGGACATGGAGTGGGGGCACTGCATACAATTGTTATTGGTCCGTCCGTTTTTATCCGCGAGAACGCAGTGCGGAACCTTAAAACACTCCATAGGGTGATGACGCTTGATTTCCATCGCATTGAAACAAATTCTCGGCGTTTTTACTAAGGTCCGTTGGTACCTTCACCATCTCATTTTTTTTACCAATCATTGGTAATTTTACCAAGACAGACTGGTAAGCTTCCTAAAAACCGGTATTTTTACTGTTTCATTCAGGTAAGAATACCACTTTTATTGGTAATCATTTCCCGGTAACTTTGCCATTTTATCTCGGTAATTCTACCACAGTCGATAGAAAATATTGGCGTCTTTACCAAGGTCCAAGAAAATTACCGAGAAAGTTCAATAATTTTACCGAGATTTCTCGGTAAAATTACCAGTTACATAAACGGTAATTTTACCAAGAAAAAACTGGGATCAAATAGAGCCCTGAATTCTTGGTAATTTTACCCTTTTCCCAGTAAATACACCGAGATTTTTTCTCAGTGCGCAGTGCGGAATCTCAAAACACTCCATAGGATGACGACGCTTGATTTCCATCGATTGAAATAAAAAGACAGGTGACCGATTAACACCTTTCCGATCCTATTTGCGCACTTCTCTAGCCCCACCAAACGTGCCTCCTGGCGTTGCGTTTGAGGTGTTAAATATCTCCCCCTCCGGGCGGGTTCCCTGCTTCCTCACGCTGGCTTCAGTTTAATATTGAAAGTGGGTCATATTTTTTTAACGCCCCGTCCCGACGTCGTTTCCTTTCTGCGTCGAAAAGTGAAAAGTGCCCGAATCAAGGGATCCCCCTGGCAACGCGTCAGAGAAATCGTCGCTCTTCTGACAAAAGCGCGTATCTCTAATCCCGCATGAGCCCCAGAAACCGTGAAGTTATACGGAGAGCAGGGCTCATTTGGAAATCGAGTTACGCCCTTACGCCAGAGGAGCGACGAAATATTATCGCTTCACTGGAGAACCGAGTCGTTTGCGCTCACCTTTTTTCCCGATAAAACGGAAGCTTAACCCCCTCCCCCTCCGCCACACGGTGGATCGTGTCAATAGGAGAGGTCGGACAAAATTCGGAAACTTTAAATGTTTAAACGACGAATGTTCATATTTTTATCTTCGCAGTTCATATTTACATGGAAATGTTTTTGCTTTACTTTTGGCGTCATATACTTGGATTGCATTTTGCAAAAAGGAACCACTAGCATTGCAATGATGCTAAGATTGTGCGACTTCATCTTTTGCGATAAAATTTCGGAAATCGTGAAAACCTATGAAATTTAGATGGTAATTCTTGTCTTAAATTTACAGTTACTAGCGAGTAAAATAGAAACTATTAATGGATAATCGGGTTTTTCCTCAAAGACAAAAGAAGTTGCACAATCTTAGCAACATTGCAATGCTAGTGGTTCCTTTTTGCAAAATGCAATCCACCTCATAGCTTCCCTCTATTAATAAGTTCAAGTTGTCACTCATCGATTAAACTTCCTTTTCCTCTTATAAATCGTCGGCTAAATTAGGATTACTCAGGATCATGTCGCGCTTATACAACACCTCGTGTTGGACTTTCCTGCTTGTTTTTGTTTTCCTGCCAAAAAATTTTGATTTCAAGTATAAATATGACCGCGTGAAGTTTATTACTCTACGTCGTCTTAGTATTTTTTTAAGGAAAAGGAAGTTGCACAATTTTGAAAACACATTAATCCGGTTTAGTGTCCCTTTATACCCAGAGTTAAGACAACTCACTTTTGGTTGGGCCAGGGTTGGGCTGAAAGTGGCCTAAAAAAAAATCCAATTCTGATTGGTTCTCCCTCATGGAGGCCGAAACGAGTGCACCAAGATGGCGGTACCTCGTATGTGAACAAGAATAATGTAAATATTACGTAATTGTGGTTTATCAAGAGTAACTTGTTATTTCCATCGGTCCAAAATGAAAATAGATTAAGAAATTATTCACAAAACAATCTCATTTTCTTTTTAATTTATCAATTTGTTGAAGTTGTTGTTTTTGTGTGACAGACATCGCAGGATTCCCAGTCAGTCCGCAATATTTTAAAAACATTTTAAAAATATTTTCATTATTGCTATTAAAATATCCTCTGAAAAATATTGATACAACTTTTTTAAAATAGTTTGAAAAAATATTTTTGAAAAAGTTTTAAATAACATTGCTAAAAAATTTTGAAAATAGTTGGAAAATACTTTTAAAAAATAATTTACATAGCAATATTGTAAAAATATTTAATGTAATTATTTATAAAATGAAAGCATAAAAATATTTTTATAATATTGTCACGTAAATAATTTTTAAAAAATATTTTCCAACTATTTTCAAAAATATTTCAAAACTTTTTAAAGTAATATTTTGAAAATATTTTTTCAAAAATATTTTGAAAATAATTCAAAAATATTGTCTGTAAACATTTTTAAAATATTAATAAAAAAGTTTTGAAAATATTTTTAAAGTATTTTTTAAAAAATATTTACAAACAATATTTTTGAATTATTTTTTTCAAGTCCTTATTTTCAGTTATTATGAGGTGTTATTTACATTAGTGTAAATTTAATGTAAGTACCTATTACGTGAGATCGAAAAAAACAAATAACAGGAAACGCATGCTATAACAGGTGTGATTTTAACCCGGCCCACCATGAGCTCTCTGTGGCTCAGTGGCTAGAGTGCTCGGCTACCAAACCCGCGGCCCAGGTTCCAGTCCGCACGAGGGCGTCCGGGTGTTTTACGCTCATAAAACTTCGCAGGAATTCAGGTAAGTGGTTCAAAATGTTCAGTACTTGTGTATTTCATGTTTCAAATGTAATAAAATTGCAGTAATATGAAAATGACGATTTGCCTGTACTTCCACATCTATTTGACAGAGCGCGCTGAGTATACAGAAGGGAATAGTGTCAATAACCATTGATAGAGCGCGCATGGTATACAAATAGGTAAACATTCCGGTAAAATATTTTCGATAAAATATTTTGAAAATATTTTTAAAATTTTCCTTGGAAATATTTTTAAAATATGTACATGGAGTTAACATGTAGCAATTTTGAAAATATTTTGACAATGTTTTAAAAATAATTACAAAATAATGTCAAAAATGTTTTAAAAATATTGCGGTGCTGACTGGGTTCCTGATCCTTATCCCTCAATATCGTTCGTTTGGGTGCACTCGTTTCGGCCTCCAT